AGAGAGAGAGAGAGAGAGAGAGAGAGAGAGAGAGAGAGAGAGAGTTATGGAAACGTTTACCATGCTTAAAATAGCAATTGCTTAATTGCTTTGCCTTATAAAATGTAAACTTTTACCGCATTTTTGAATAAAATAATTACAGCTTTATTAAATAACAAAAATATTAACTTTATTTTATTTAAATTTTAAACATTATTCAATATATGAAAACAAAACGTCTGATTATAAGTTATAAAATATTTAAAAACAAATTTATTAAAATAATTATATAATTGAAATTGTATTTAAGATACAAAAACCACCATTATCAAATGTTTAATTTTACAAGTAATTAAAACCAAGGTGTTATACACCGCCATCGCGTGTATAGGCCGGGTTAGTTGAGCCGCTGCGGGACTGACCGCTGTTGGGCGGTCGGTATGCGGTGGCGGACCCAAAGTCATCCATATGTTGGCCTCCGTGACCACCCGAATGCTTTCGTGATCTAAAGGGTGATATAAAATATGGCCACATATTAGTAATAGTTATAATTAAATTAAAATTTTTGTGTTCAAAATAAAAGCAATTAATACAACTAATTCTCATTAATATTCTACTATTAAATACACACAATTTTTTTATAGAATATTCTACTAAATAATCCATTAAATTTAAAATTAATGTCATGCTAATATTAAACTATTATAGCAAATCTATTTCTAATTGAGCAATGTAATTTTAACTGTGGACTGTGAGCACGTTTATAATATCAGACCCACCTTTCCGTATTCATTCGGTTTAACACTACCGGTGCTCTCGACTGGTTTTGTTTTGCCCTGAATATTGAGTTTTACAACAGAGAGAAACAGGTATATAATCGGGTGCGTAAAAACGGATCAGGATAGTTTACGTTTACACCTAATCATGTCATACAATCATAATAAACAGTATAATCGATACATACTTTCTAAAGAATATTCCGGCAACAATTCCCACGACCACAACGGCCACCGCCAACACCACAATACCGGCGATCCAACCGCCGTTTGACACACTGTACTCGTTCTTACAGTCGACGCCGTAATATTTCTCATTACAGTCGCAAACGCACCGGTCGTTGATTAGTGAAGCCTTTCCGTTATTATTGCAGTCAATATGGCCGCAGTTATCTGCCATGGGCAATTTAAAAAACCAATGTATTTCATTTTATATTTGACTCTAGAGCGATTTATCACTTACCATTGCAAACTGTGCCGTCGTATGTGAAACCTTTATTACACACGCAGATGGGAAGTGCCTCATAGGCGTTAACGCCCGTTGGCTCCACAGCCACGTGACACTTGCCATTAGTCGTACATTTGCCCTCACATACTTTGTTCACTATATGATAACATATGGTACATTTATTATTAACAAGTTAGTTCGTGACTAATTAATTTGAATCACCATTTTAAAACAAAATTAATAAAAACTAATTACTTACCAGAGCAAATCTCAATCACGTGTTTATCGTCGGGCCCAACGGCTTTATAGATATCAACCTGGGTTTTGCTGGTGGCAGTGAATGAGTTGAGTGGTGTGCACTTACAACTATATAAAGAATTTCCCGCAGGGTCATTTAGACATGTTGAGTATAGTGGGCATACGGTGGAGCTCGTGTCGCAAACCTAACCATATTAAATTGAATTAGATTAGAAAGTTATCATCAATATTTTTAATTTTATTAAATACTAATTAACAATAAATGTAAATTTTAGTAAATAAAATAGTAATAAAATAAAACTCGCCTTGTGCACTCCCAATTGAGTTTGTTTGACCTCATTGGTTTTAAATAGTAAACGTTCTGGATCGGCGAGTGCTGGGTGGGGTGTGATAACGGGCACACGGATCTAAGGCACACATGTATTGAAAGCCACTGTTGTTCCCACTGTTTTCCACTGTTAGATACGGTTTTTTATAATATTATTATTATATACTGTGTTATAGTGTTGGCTAAACACTACACCACCGCTTGTCTCCATCGTTATCCAACACTCAACAGTTTTTTTTAATGCTAAACAAACCGATCATATACTGTATATCATGTACAAAGTGTACATTATATACAATCTATATTAATTACATAATAATTATACAGTGTAATTATCTTAGCCCTGTTATTAATAATCACGTTAATCTCCAATCATTAATAAAATATAAATTAAATATTTATGCACTATTGGTATAAATAATTGCCATAGATCATAGCTAATTAATTACAGTAAATTAGTGTCATGGTAAATAACTATTATGTTAAGTTATATACACAATGTAAATATTTAATAATTTATTTAACAAATTGATTCACTATTGTTAGATATTTTGCAACTTTATAATATTTGATAAAATTGATTTTGTAAATTAGCTACCAATGCTTCGAAGCCATTAAATAATGGTACAAATATTGCTATCATAAATATTTTAATATTTAATATTGATAGTTGTAGATTTTACAGAAATGATTATATTAATAGCAATACTGCACTTTCCATATGTATTTCATTATATAATTAGTCAGGAATTTGCAGAATATTTATGTTAGCTTAATATTTAGATATAAACATGCATTTAGTTAATTAAAACGATTATACTTTTTGTTAAGATTTTATTATTAAAACAATTTTAATTATAACTCATTTATAATTTAAAGTCATTTATATAATTAAATGCCTTAATTTAATCCTATTATAAGTATATCATTATAATAGGAGGTGCGGGGATAATAAAGACCAAGTTCTCAATCTAGTATTAACTACAAAACCCGGTGTATATACAGTATATACATTTAGTAATTAGTTTTAAGCCATCAAATACAGCGTGTATTTTGTTAATCTGTTCACAGAATCTGATCACCAAATCATGATTAATTCAATCGATTCTTCATAGTGTAGAAACATCGTTCACAATCTGCACACACATACACATATATAAAATGTCTCTAGCTCAATCATTATTCATACAAATTTAATGCATGTTAATTATTCAGTAAGTGAATAAGTAAAAGTAAGAGAGAGAGAGAGAGTGTATATACAATGCATTTGCCTATCAATACCG